GGTTCTTTCGAGGAGTTTACCAAAAAATGGAATGGAATAATCTCGAGATATCTGAAAATCAGCTTTTGAGGGTTAAAGGGTAAAGTTTCCGAAAAGAGCATTACTTTTCGTCACGAGAAAATTATTTCCTCTTGTTTTAACCCAATCGACTTGCAGTTGGGATATTTTTCTCAATAAATTCCTCCCTTCTTACTCAGGTACTTGATATGATTGGCAACATCAGGGGCAAATTGTCGAAAGAGATGTATTGCTTTTTACGATAAACCAGCTCTGTCAAGGTGGTATTGAAGCTTTGTCAAAGAGTTTTTGTGCAAAATCCGTCGGTAGCGGTGTCCTATGCGTGTTCAGAATACTTTGTATGCTATATATCAGAGCTTAGGCCACCGCAGAGCATCTCGTATCCAGGGTCTTCACTTCTCATTAAACCGGTAAGAAAGATCCATCAGGGCTGACTGCGATAAAAAAAAAAAACCTGAATACATAATGGTCTCAGAAGAAGCTTTTAAAGAGTTCAGTAGTAGACATTTTCGTTATTGAGTCAATAGTTTAAAAGCGTCATAGACGAACGACGCCAGCGGGCTATTTAACTGTTTGTTTGGCTTCGTTGAGATAGTTATTCTCTTTCTGCATTTCGTTTCCCCTTCTTTACCGGCTTAAGGGTCAGATTTTGTGTTTTGATCATGACTCCTCGTCAAGATAAAAAACATAGAGAAGAAAGTACATCTTTTAAAGACAAAAAAAATTGCCAACCTTCAAGGATGATGATGGACACCTTTCTATAAACACACCTTTGCGGAGACACGATTTAACATAGGTGTTTTGTTGACAAGTACTTTTCCACTGGCAAGACGTTACCTCTGGAAGGGTAAACAGAAGTTCCTTCAATTTACTGCTAAAAAGAAAGAATTTTCTAATCAAACTTTATTATAACATGACAGGATTTTGTTCCTTGTTAATTACTCAAGAAATGGTCGATCTTTTGTCTTCTCTAAATTTCCTTGTCAAGTTCCATTTCGCACTGGACCCTGATATGCTGCTGGTTCAATTAGCAATCATATGAGATAATACTAAGGTCATTTAAACCTCATGAATAGTCAAAATAGATATTAATTATGTGGTCGCTCACTTTTCTGAACAGAAGGTAAAGTTCTGTTATCAAAAATGTTGGTCTGATAGGGGCATTGCGCTCTAAACAATATACGTATGGTTTAAAGTTGGTGATGTTTTTTCAAAAGTCACGGCTCAACACCAGTTAGTCCAACATCAGTTTCTTTACGGCTAAGAAAGAAATTAATTAATTTTGGTGTCAATAATTTCACGTCTGTCGTGAACAACTTCGTGTTGAATATTCCCTCGTATTTCCAATTAATAATACGACTTACGCCTTTTCTCTAAATGACTAAAACTCCTATCCTTGTGGAGTTTCATGAGTTCTATAGGCCCTTAATCCCTGTGATACCTTTGAAGTTACTTGCTCGTATGGTCGTGATCTCGAATTGCGATTTATCTCCTACTAAACGTTGTCTCGGTTTTCAAGTTTAATTTTTTTAACAACTTACCGGCATAATGTATTCATCCGTCCTTAAATAATTAACATAACAATTAAAAGTGGCTTATTAATGAGGTGAAAGATCCGGCAAAATACAAAGTTTATGATGAACAGCCATTGCCAAGAGCTCAGTCATGAAGTCAATTATAATTTGACTATACACACGATTAACAGCGACCCATACGAAAATTCTTCTAGCGTTGAAAAGCTTCGAACTGTTGACGGTTATTCAAATGTTATAGAACACCAATATCTATCACTTTTTTCGCGTTGGAGCTTCTAAAATTGATTTAAATCAACCATTTTAAAGAGGATCTCATTTTATTTTTATTTTTCACATTGACACCCATGAACGATCGATTTTCACTTTTTTCAAGCTGATATCCTCTTGAGACCTACTGATCCCTGCCAAGTTTCGAGGAAGCGTGCAAAATAATTGGTTTCTAGACAACGCAAGTCCTCGTCAGAAATTGCAGGCATATTCAAATTTGATTGGTACGGTGAGACATTCAAATTTTGACGTTTGTTTTTTTTGTTCCGTGCATACTTGTTTATTCATGAGACGGCCGGTCGCTATATGCGAGAATTACGCTGACTCGTTTGCTATTCATTGAGCAGCTCATTTTCCTTCTCTTACTCCCGTTTTGCACAGTTTGTTTGGCAGTTTTGATCAAATCTGTTTCACCAGTTGAAAGTGGAAGCCTGTTTGAAGCTGGTGGCCGGAAATATACTTCAATATGGACCACTTCACTCGCCTGCTACCGTGAGTTGCATTTTGTAATTGTAGACGCGCATTCGTTCGACATCAATATCCCTTCCTGTGCAGAGCGTTTCTTTTCTAAAATTTTCCGAATGAACCTCCGACGACAAAAACTTCTGTTTTCTGAATTCGCAATTCTCTGGAGCTAGTTTTCCAGTCGTTTTTTCGTCCAATCGACATTTTAGCGCGAGTTTAATTCCCGGCGTGAACAATTCATTTCAATTTCTTCAGGCGTGAGAGAGTTAAAGTTTCCGTTCTGACTTCATACATCTGCTTAGAAGAAACTATCACCGTAATTAAACTTTTGAACTGTAAAAGATGAATGCTTTCATATCTTCGGTGCAGCATTCGTCATCATAATTCGCCAAAAAGAGTTTCATAACAAACGCCAACAAACCACAGGAGTGGAGATTCACCAAATACTACTTGTTACTGTAATTTCGATGTCGTATCTGATACTAGTAATAAAGTATTCACGATGAGAAAGGACCAGAAACATTTTTCTTACGTTATTTTAGAATTCCTACCCTTGTATTACACACTAAATAAAAATGCCTTCTTTTTCCGACTATCTGATTCGAATCAAAACCAATTACGAAAGCTCCAGTGTCTATATGTAGATTTAGAATATATTATCTTGCGTGCGATATGAGGCCGTCAACAAGTTAAATGCCCATAGGAAGTCTCCAGCCTTCTTCAACGGTGAAAATCTATTTTGAAAAACTTTAGCTTTAACGAGATGTTTAAGTGTAATTGCAAACCGCCAATTGCCATAATAAGATGGTTTTAACGGCTAGCTCAATAAAATACAGTAAAAGCGTTTCAACACTCTACTTGGAGGAAATTAGTAGACCTATTAAATTGCGGTGATAATACATTTTTTTTTACTGAAGTAAAAGGTAATTAGTTTTCATAATTCGTTTTGAAACAGTTTCTGGAAACAAGCGAAAAACGATTGAAATTCATGGCTCACCAAAGCCTAGACAAAATGTTTGGATCCTAACATTCTGGCCCAGGTTGACCGAAAGTTGGATAACGTTATCCACTGGATAAGTCTCTATCCAGTCAATAGCACATTGTTTAGATTGCACTCGCCCGCTGGATTGTGATTTATCCGTTGGATAGCGCGATACTCCCATTGAACAACTGGGCTCCGTATGATAAACATTTCAACAAAGTTACAGTTAAGATATTTTACCAATTCTTTGTGAAACGACAGCAACAACTTATAGGTAATTCCAATTTATTCCTTGTAAAAACCTGATTAAATATTTGCTAGGCGTTCTCAAACTCTTCCGAGAAAATGTGTAAAGCCTTGATTGCGAAATAAATTTTTTCAGCAATTGAACTTGCTTTAACGATACGTGGTGTACATTTTCCATTCTGAGAATTAAATTGTGTGCGTTTGAAACATCTGATTCAGAAAAAATTGCCTTGAAATAGTTAGCTTTTTTCAGTTCTATTCAATTGGGAGCCATTCATTGGGCAATCTAACTACAGTTCTCCGTCCAAAACATTAAATGTGATCACAAAACAAGAGTGTCGCCAAATTATAAGTAAACCGAGAAAAAAGCCTAAACTGCATCGATCACGAGATCGGTACTTAAATATTCTTTAAAAACAATTAAGTATCAAATGTAGAAATTAAAGAATAACAGGCTATGGCCTAAAGAGGAATATAATGCGTTTGTGGAACTAATTTTTTAATGTAGAATTTAATAGTTTTTAAGTTGTTGTTTTCTGTAAACGTTAAATAGTCAATAACTTATCAAATAGGACATGCGCAAAACTTTTTGGTTTGATTTTCTCGTTTTCTAACGATCCTCTCGTTTTGTGGAACAGTTCGCTGTCCATAGGTATGCGAAATCGATTGGTGATCACGAAAATATCAATTTCAATATCAAATATGCAAAGGACGCACTTTTGAAATATGGTGTCATCTTCTAATTGATGTCCCAAAAAAGCGCAGATAAGGAATGTTCTAATATATTCATGTTTGCTACACTGTTTTTTGTTGTTTTGTTTGTTTGTTTCTTCGTTTGTTCGGCTTTTTTTTTTTCAGTGTAACAAACAAATATCTTAACTTGCCCAATTTATTGATGATCTGATGAACTTGGCTTATAAATGAGATGAACTTATTTGACTTAAGTGATTGCAAATGCTTGAGTGTCTTTCAGTCGTTCAGGAATATTCCAACATGTTTTCAATCATTGATAGGATCCTTTAAAGAGTTTTTAAGAGCAAATTTTTGAAAAATGTAGCCTGGATACTAAATTAAATATCAAATCTCCACGATGAAACCTTTTTCTCTAGTCGTATTCATTCTCTAGCAAAAGTTTGAAGAGTTTCTCGAGTTAAGCCGCCATTTTCAAGTGGCACGCGCAAAATTTGTTTTCATGGAAGATTAGCATGGCAATGCAAGTTGAAACCCGACCACCATGACTGGAAGAGGAAACCAGAAAGAACCACAGGATAATTCGATTAAAACTTGTAAAATTTAAGAGGGATGCGCACAGATCGACTCCAAGTTATCTATGCTTTGGTAAAAATGTCCTTGGCTCTTAATTCTGCTCCCTTTACTTTTTATAAATGAAAATTAGAACTAAATATAGGTCAAAACTCGGCTACAGAAAGAGTTTATTACGGTGGCTTCAACTGCAGCTTTTTTTTTCTACGTGTTTTAATTCAAAGGAGCTTCCCGAAATTATTTGACAACGATAAAAGTGAAACAAAGTCAGAGGCGAATCCAGAGACTGACCAGACCGACAATAAGACCCAGACTCCCGCGGAACAAGAGCCTTTGGTGCAGTCACAAGAAAATCTTGCTTTTGAAGAAGACGAAAAACACTTGGAACCGAAAGATACCTCAGCTGACTCAGCCTCTTCTATATTAGAAACCACGGTGGAACCAATGGAGAGCGAAAAATCATCTGACACGAAAGAGCTGGAGAAAGTAGCAGACGACTCCGGGATTTCTGTTGATCACGTGAATGGAAATGACGTCATTTCAACAAAGGAAGAGACAAAGGAAGATGAACATGATCAGGGTCATAAAGTGAAGCCTGTTCTTGAATCCATAAGTGCATTCGCCATGCAATTCATGGAAGCCAGCGCACCCGAAATCAAAGTGGATAAGCCCCAGACACTGTTCTCGGTTGCAACAGAAGATGCTGAGGATGCTCCACCAGGGAAACCTCCCCAGTCGCCTAGGAGACACACGGAACATAACATTAAAAATAGGCTACTCGATAAGAATTCGTTATTACCAGAGGCAGCTCTGACCAAGAGGCGACATAGTGATTTTGCCGTTTCGGCTCCTCGGCCCGTTAATGATGAGCTGGCTACACAAGACTTGAAGAAGCGCGGTTCAGTTGGAGCAGGTATTGCTTAATTATATATATAGCGGAGCTCCTGCCTGCAGAGAATGCAAAGGAGCCCGACACATATCCATACGTCCCTTTGTTATCGGCCCAGTTCTTCAATTATTATTACTATTTTATTTTATGACTATTGTACTAAATAGATAAACCCTTTGTTTCAGTTTGTTTGAACCATTTTGTTATAGTGTACCCGATTAGTAAGCTTCCTGTGGCTAGCTAGAAGACTTAGACTCTTAAATAAAGTCGTTAATTGATTGATTGATTCGGCTATATTTCTGTACTCTCTCGCGCTTAACTTTAGGACTTATTACAAGGGATCTTCCGGGAAATATTACGATGAAGGTGATGCTTATCTTTCAGTCACCAGAGGAAGCTCAAAAAGCTAAATCAAGTGTTTCCTTGAGAATCGAGAGGATAAACATAACAATTGAAGTTTTTAACCCATAGGAAGCAGTAATACTTTGAAACGAGCAAGATTGATAAGAATAAAAAATGACCAAATTGGAAGGCCATAGGTAAATTTCTGAGATGTGCCAATCATTCCATGATGCAGTTCCTTAATTACAGGAAAAGTAAAAAACCATCGGCTTAGTTGTTGTTTTTCTTTTTAAGGACAAACTACCGCAAGGAAAGGTTCTCATCCAGACGTTATCAGAGCTGGTCGGGGACCCCAATGGTCACCAAGTCTCGAAAGGAAACGTCTTGATGAGGCAAAGAAGGGGAAAAAGAAGGACGAAAGAAGGAAGACTTTAGCAGAATTAGCTTTAGAAGCTGGTTACACAGTAAGAACGATGTGAATTAAGCATTGTTACGATGATTTTGATGCCTTATTAAATTATCAATGGCCAATGAGCCCGAATGGGATGTTCTTCTCATCTCATTCCTCGACAACCTGATCTTGTTTCCCGTATTGACTATCATAAAAAAATTTTCACAGCCCAACATTGAGACAGAAACGCCTGTATATCAGCCTGGATCGTTGCAGGTCATCAAAGCAGATCCATCTAAGGTAACTTTGAATTTTTTGACAGATTTATCAAATCGAAATAGAAACTTTTTGACAAACTTTTAATCTTTCACTGAAACTTCACTCTCGTTTGGTCTTTCGCTTAAATTTTTTTTTCATTCATCACGCCATTTAGAACATAAAACTCGAAACACCTCAAATATCAAGCACGTACACATCCAGGCTATATGCTAGGCCTGACCCCTTGATGGAGGAAGCACATGAGACCGAACAAATACCGCTTGTTTTTATGATGTGCATTTTCTAAATCAAACATCTCTGCCGCAGAATAATAATAATATTTTCACCTTGTCTAACGTTCGCTCAGGGAAGTTCAGAAAGCTTATTGAGTGAGCCTGGTGAAGAACATTTTAGCAGTGTGCCCGTGACTGGGGAAGTGTTTGTGAGCCTGCGATATGAGATGCCGTCCAAAAGGTTTGAAGTACATGTCCTCAGCGCTAACAATCTGTCTTCTGCTGATGCAAAAAGATCTTCCTCTGATCCGTGAGTATGGCTCCTCGTTTTGAAAGAAGTCTTAAACATCAGCAGTATGCTATAGGTTATAAAAATGTATTTTCGAAAAAAGGAAACCAGACTTGGGACAACGAACTCTCTTGAGTTTCCACTGAAGGTTCTTATCATGCACAGCAAGTTAAAATTTCACTTTTAAAGAGATGCGGGGATGAATAAGGCCTACCACTTGAACGAGATTCCTTTTTGACAAGTAACTATTATGAAGTTATCATTAGTGCTATTAGTCACAGATCTCTCACCCTTAAAATCAAAATTGCATGTGTTCTTACTTCTGACCCGACATTTCTAAAGAACTGTCTCTATTTTCAGTTATGTGAAGACATACCTCCTTCCGGACAGACGGAGCAAACGCAAGACAAAAACGAAAAAAGATACCTTAAATCCACACTTTGATGAAATTTTAGAGGTAAATTGATTAAGCACAACACTTGAGTATTCCCAGGCTTTTCCTTATTATGTTATTGGCAACAATTTTAGGATTCTAAAATTTTATCCTCTTATTAATCATTATCAACATTAGTCATTATTGTCACAATTATTAATACATAGTCATTATTTGGGTTAGAACCTACGTCACCAAAGATACATTCATCGGCATCGCAACAGGCAGCGTGCATGCCAGAAAAAAACTGGGTGTGACACACGAATTCGAACTCTCTGTGAAGAAACAAACTTGAAAAAAAAAGAAAAAAAAAAGCGAAGTCGCAAAAGAAAACTTACGTTTTGTCTTCTTTTCCAGTGGAGTTTACCGGGGTGACCCTCAAATTTATTAATTCCATTCCTTTTCACTGGCTCGTTTCCAAAACATCCAACTAAATTAAATCTAATCTTATCTAATTTCTGTGCTCAAGCTTTTTATTTTTCTCTGCAGTATTTCATGGGATATGACGAGCTACTGACACGAACATTACATCTGAGTGTGTGGCATAAAATGATTGGACGAAACTGTTTCCTGGGCGAAATTAAGATTCCAATGAACAATTTTGTTGAAGCGGGAAATTCCCTCGAACAACCAGTAGCTAAATGGTTTAATCTGACCGAGAAGGTAAGAGTTTATTTCTCAAGTCCAGTCAAAAGAGAACCTCTCCATTCCTTGCAACATCAATTTGAGCCTGCTGTCTCTCTCAGTCGTGAACTGCACGTGCCAATATGGGTAATGATATAGTTACTGACCGTTGCTAATAATTCTCGTTGTCTCGACGCTTTAACAATTATTCACCTTAGTGGAGGTAAATATCCATCACTTTCATCGTCACTGAGGTGAATAATTCATTTAATACATTTAATATATACCACACTGATGCAAAAAAAATAGTTTATTTCTTTCAATACCGAAAAATGATCGGAATTAAACTCTTGACGCGCGATTTTGTCTCATCAGCTGCTATGAGGTGAATAGTGCTCTATTCACTTCTGAACTAGCCAATCAGCGCGCGTGAATAGCTTTATTCACTTGTGTGGTAAATACTGATGGAAATTATTTGATAAATTTTCCATCCTTCGAGCAAAGCGCTTCGAAACATGCCCTAACAACGGCAAGCAACTATCAGAAAACGAACGCGCAAAGACTGTAAGTTACATCACTTGTTTGATAGATGGAAGTATGTTTAATACAGGCTTGCGAAGTGACTACATTACGTCCAGGAGTAAGGGAAGCTTAACTATGCGAATAGTCACGATCGATTACGAGACTTGCATGTATGTGGTGTAGGGAGATATCTCGCAGAGATGAAGACTGAGGAAAGGTCATACGATGATAAGCCAAACAACCGCTTGAAAGGATGGGCGTTTCTTTTTTCTTTAATAGACCGATGAGATGGATGGTCTGCCTTCAATTCCATGCGAATTAGTTTTGTCTTTGAAGTACGTTACGGCTGATAAAGTAAAAAAGAAAGGAAGAACTAAGGGTGAATTACATGTACATCTGTTGGAGGCCAGGAATCTACCAGGAATGGATGCTAATGGGATGTCTGACCCCTACTGTAAATGGTAAGAGGACAAAACAAAGAATTTGTTCTGAATTCGAATGTAGTGTCTTTCACAGGAAGTATGCGCATGCCTTCTCCTGTTGGTTATAAGACTTAAAATCTGCATCAAATATAACGACTACAGTGACTCCACGTACTTTCTCTTGATATTTTAGCACGTTGTACTCAGGGCACTGCACTGCTTCTTGCTTCCCCTCTTCAGCACCTTACTTCCACGTAATGCGGAGAAAGATTTCGATTAAAGCAGATTTTCGAATATAGCGGGCCGTTCAGTAACATACGGCTCGCTTATTGGTCAATCACAGCGCACTTACTAACTGAGAGATAAAATAATGAACTTCAGATAAGTGGTCTGGGTTCGAGCCCCGACTTAGTCATTTTATTGCGTTCTTGGGAAACACGTTTTTCTCTCGAAGTACCGCTGTCCATCCAGGGTTACAAATGGATGCAACAAATTGGCAGGGAAACTTGTTGATAACCTTTTTCTGAGCCAGAGGAGTTCTGGAATGGACTAATGTCATGTCCGTCCAGGAGTTCATGCTATAGCATAAATTCTGGTAATAACGGGGAATTGTACTCATAAAAATTCAACTTTTTTAAACTCCTGAATTGTCATAATATTCGCTTGCAATTTTCTTTTCGCCACAGTCTTTTATTACCAGACAAGAAAGGTAAAACTAAGCATAAGACGCCAGTGATAAAACGGACCCTGAACCCCACCTTTGATCACAAGTTTTCTTACGACGAGCTGTCTCCCGACGATTTGAAGGGGAGAGTGTTGGAAATCACTATCTACGACTTCGATCTCGCTTCCAGTGACGAGTTCCTCGGCGGCGTGCGGTTAGGCCTGGGCACCAGCTCTAACGAATGGGATGATTCAAACGAAGACGAAAGCCAAATATGGCATACGATGCTTAATCGGTCTAATGTCTGGATTCAGGTTGTTGTTCCCTTGAGGTCGACCATGGCTTACACGAAAAATATGTGAAACTATAACGAGGGGAACAGAATGTGAAATCCAAACACTAAAGCTTAGATGAATCACAAAGCACGCTGAATTATTCTGAACGAAAATGCTGACAGAAACTTTGCAATTCACTCAAAAACGAAATGCGGTGATATATCCTAAAGTCTTGATTGAAATGTATAAGGACCATGGAAATGAAATTATATCATAGTCACTTTTCATCTCCAATAAAAACCAAGTTCATTTTGATAGTATTAAAATGAAAGAGAATATATCTTACGAATAAAACCGCATGTAGAGTATGAAAACCGCACAGTTGGAAGTTGTCAGCCTCTAGAACTTTTTGATCTCTCGAGTTGAACGATTTCCTTCCACATACTGTAATCAAGTCAGATGATTTCATGATGCAAGCTACCAGAATTTGATTAGTGAACGATAATAGTTTGAGAACTATTTGTGATCACTACTAATGATGAAAATGCGTGGGGGCTTTGGAGGAATATTTGTAAAAGGTGGATAGTTGTACTAGTTCGATTTATGATTGCATGCTAAAAATAAAAAAAAATCGACTTAAAAACTCTAATTTCATGTATCTTTCATAACAAAAGAGAAACATCCATTATGTCGCACTCACAACGACGAAGAAACAGTCCAATTCAAACACCACACTATTCCAAGTGTTACATATGAAATATCGTTCATTTTACCTACGTAAAATGAAATAACATACGACTTTGCCTTCACATAGCAGCAGCCAAGGTAATTGGGGCAAAAAAAGTCTCAGCCTCAGTTCCGCGCGTCTTTTCCTACTATTTCAAGCCAGCATAAAACTCAAAAGAAAACGCTTTTGAGTAGTCTCTCGTTCATGGGAACTTGCTTTATACTAATTCGAAACCACTCCTTTGATAAACTATTTGGATGTCTTAACTATGACAAACACAAACGATGTCGTCATTGCAATCAGTTACCCCGCAAACTCTTTTAAGTTATACCACTGTATAGTTTTGAAGGTGGATGCCGTGGTAATTTGCGAATATTCGACAGGTTTCATCCGTTTTCCATTTAAGACTTCTATCATGCGAAACCATGCGTCAAAAAGGGATGGTTTATTCAGGGTGTCAATCGAAGATCTTCTGCAAAGGTTATTGGCCAGTGAGTGAGTGATGTCAAAGGTACCAGCACATGTGTAATGTAATCGTTGTCAACGCTTTTTAGAGACTCGGTCTTATGTCACTCCTTGACCCAGGTCACCCTTCGGTGAAAAAACTTCTCAACTTTGCTGTTTGCTCAGAGAGATTTGTGAGTTGTATTTTATTTCTTGACTATTTTCCAAACAAATCGTCAAATACAATTCTTGCACAAGTCGTCTCTCAGTTTTCTAGATTGCTAATTCTTGCACAGTCATTCTCTTGCTCTTCTTCACCCAAGGAGAGAAAAGAAAACACGATCGCGTTATTATTGAGCTGCTAGTACTTTGTAAAAAATCGTGATTTCTGTAGGGGAGCGTTTAGTTGGAAGCAGACGTTTGGTGACTACGTTATTGTATAACGTATTTTTCAGTGCATGATTAAGATGGCTAAGGATTTTTTTAAAGTAACGATTTTGCAAAAGAAACAAATTAAAAACTGCATGCTTAGATATCGACTTTTAGCTTTTCTCTCTTACAAGCTGCCCTTCTAAAATAGGCTTCTTCATCGCATTACAACTCGTTGGGCCAAAATGCAAAACACTGGTAAAGATAGTTGCACTGCAATGTACCATGTTAGTTGTACATGTGACCCGGTTAAGACGGGTTTATACTCCAGCTGCAGTATTTTCATTGATAGGACGTTGTAAATGCGGTCAGGTTCTTCCCCCTGATGAACTTACCTCATCTCTGACACTTTAGCCGTTACATTAAAAATCTCATAAGTCTGTACTCGAGTCCAGTAGCCCACTAAGCCGGAGCTTATACCAGTTTCCATAGTATGATGCGACAAAGGAGTATCACTGCTCCCCCACCTGGATGAGATTCCAGTATATCGCAAGGTAAACCCCCCGCATTTCATAAGGTTTCTCTGACAATTTGGCGGTACCCCTGGATGCTCTTGGGTGGAGAGAGGCATGGGGAGAGTAAAGTGTTTTTCCCAAGAACACCACACATGTCCCGGCTAGGTCTCCACCCCGGAGTCCAGCGCACTAACCATCAGGTAGCAGCATCTCCAACAAGACAAATTAAAGAGGCTCAAAATAGTTTTTTTTCTTTTTAACCCTTTACACTCTATCATCGGCATTTATATTCTCCATACTGTTCTCTGTACATTTACTAAGGTGCTGACCAGGAGAATTTGTCTAACAATCAAGATTTTCTCTAGTTGGTGATCATTTCCTTTTTTCTCATGACATTTATGAGTGATTCAGGGATGATATTGTAAGGAGAAATTAGATGCTGGTCTCTCTCAGGGGTTAAAGGGTTAAAACACCAATCGTTCGATGATTTGTACTTTACTCTTCCACGTGTTCTTTTGAAAATGGTATCATAAGGATGTCCAGGTATTTTTTAATATGTTGTAATTGTTTCCATTGCATTTAAAGTTACTATATCAACGCCACTCTTTTGAAACACCCTTGACCTGTATATTCTTGTATATTCCTGTAACTCGAAAACGAGCACTGTGAGCTCAATTTTTTTGCTATTGAATTGCAATCAGCAGATCAATAATCCGTTTCTACCAAGTTCTTTCAAAAAAATATTTGTAGTACCGTTCAGAGCCACCTTAAATTACCTAAAAATTTAAGTTAATGAAATGAACACATTTCAGAAATGACGTCCAGCTATCTTGAGAAAGCCAATTAATTGACAAGCAAAACTACTCAGCAGATGTTTCAACGCAGTGATGTTATCACCCGAATTTAAACTTTGTTCAGCCTGCAATCGAAAATTTGCCCATAGAAAGACAACGTGTTCATCCTCTCTAAACTATTTCCTCAGCATTTGGTCACTCTAAAGCGACTCCACAGCGTTTGAATTGACGTGAATTGACTCTTCGTAGCCAGTCTTCATAGTTTGGTTTGATAAAAAATATTGTTAATTTTCGCAACCTTGATAATAAATCCAGCTCAACCATCTTTCATATTTAAATCATGGAAACTGCAGAGTGTATACTTTCCATTTTGATTTCTTGGACTCCAAGGAAAAATTGCCTTCAATTGTCTCTTAATTGTAAGGAAAGAAGACGAGACCGAAGCATGAAATCTCAGGCGCTAAGTTTTTGACCTTGTTTAATATTCAGTTGCAAATGAAACTGCGGATGTCTCGAGGATACTGAAAATTTTTCTTTCTTAAAAAAGTTTTCTTTCCTCTAGTCATTTCTGCTTCATCATTTTTATCAAATTTACAATGCGTTGCTTAAATTGAAAGTAAAATATTAAAATGTCGAGAGATTTCCTTAAGTCAATATTGCCCTAGGAAATTATGAATATTCTTATTCTGCAGGATAGTTTTGACCTCTCTTTTACTTTAAACATAGTGGTATAGACTCTTATATTTTAAAAACAAGCTAACGTAACTCAGTATTTGAGCAGCAACGTTTTGATGTTTATATGGATTCGTTTTTCGCTTGTCCCTCCTTGGATTCTCAAACAGTTTCTATTTAATAATATTTTAACAGACGCCTCAAACATATGTTTTGATCGGCGAAAAGTTCTCAGCGACTTGAACATTGTGTACTGTTTTATCAAGATTACAGCGACTAGTTTTAGAATAATGACCGTCCAGCTCCAAATTTACCATGTCATTTCCTATTTCATCCACCTTGGTCTTTTTTGAATAATTCCCATTAACTGTGTAACACATCTTTAGATGTGACTTGAAAAAGGCTTTGGCGAAAGTCCTTGAACATTGCTCGCACTTTCTCGGTCTTTGTTCGCCAAAGAACTCCATAATTTCAATAACTCCCATTACAATCGCCAGAGCATTTTTGGCCAACAACACCGATACATCAAAGTGATACCCGTGCCATAATATCAGCCTTAAAACCAAAAAGGGAACATTGACAAAAAACATAAAACTGCATACATAGATGAATTTGAAGGATATCGGAGACGTTTCTCCACTTTCGTGAAACTTATTGAACTTCAACTCAAATAAGGCAAAGGTTGGAAGGAAAATATTCATGCAAGAAAAAGCAAGGATGGAATTTCTTAATTCGATTGGGATCTTTTCCTTATCGAAAAGATACTCCAACATCTCCACGCTGTCAAAGAGATCAAGAGTTACAGCTGCCGTCATCTTCTCCAGGTAGTATCTTCGTCGCGAATGTGATTTCGCATCGTGATGCGCGTAAATAAGAAATAGAAATAACATCGGTGTTAGGCACAAGTTCATTTTCAGCATGTTGGGTCCAAAGACCATTTTCTCGTCTAGTAACGAGGCTTTGAGTTCAAACAGAATAGCTACCTTTGGCACTAAATGGAGCGAATAGACTATCCAAGAGAGATAAGCCAACTTTATTTCATCTTTATTTTCTTCGCAGGGCAACTGAGGCAGTTTTCGGCTGTTCCTTTGTGATATTTTCATTGTTAAAATCCAGGTGGATAAAACTATAGCATCTGCTACAATCCAAGCAAACCACCATGAAGATTCTTCTTTGACGATCAAATAATAATCGAGGAGTGCCCCTTGAAGAACAAGCAAGATGACAGCAAAAATTCGAGAAAATGCTTGGCGATAAATCTTTGTTCTACACGCCATGAGTCAAAGGAAATAGTCTTCAGTATATGACTTAAATCCTGCCGGCCGACAAATGTATCTGAGTCGTTAAGCGCCAACAGCGTTCTCATGCCTGTAAGATGGAATTAACGAATTGTAAACATGTTGGTGCCAAAGTCACTAACTTCATTTCAGAGAAAAAGAAACAAGAGTAATTTGAAATTAGTAAACGTCACTGACTTACCTTTTAATTATATTCTTCTCATAGCTGATGTAGCCCTAACATGTTTTCAATGGAAGGTTTACGGATGATTCGCTAACGAAAGTAAATTTTGAACCAGTTAAAGTTTGATCATCTGTGTACTGCTTCCAGAGAATGATTGTTAAACGTTATTAAATCTTCTCTAATTTCCCCAGTCTTGAGAGCGCTTATTCATTTATCAGTAACTATACGGAATTTGAAATTTTAACCTTGAAAGGTAATTACTGATTTGGATCATTTCTACATTTTTTACATTTTATAACCACTTTCATACTTTAGCAAATAGAAGTTTGACTGAATAAAAACTGACTCAAAATGGATTTTGGATTCTCGACTACGGCATTGCCTTCAATGCCAAGGAATATATGTTGTGAATTTTACGAAATGCAAACCTTTATTAGCAGTGTGTCAGTGTAATTTTTCCTTCAAGCAGACTAAATGTCTTTAGAATTAACAGGACAAAAGGTTGTTAATTAATTTTGATTTGCATTTCATTTTAATCGCGGTATAAGTCGGAAAACTCACCTAAAGACCAGTCAAATCATTACTGAGTGAAATGCATGTACACCTCTCTTCTTACATCTAAAAAACGCTGGAAAAAAAATCTGCATTGATCAAAGACATAAAAATCATTACTTATTAATTATGTGCGAGTGAATTCGAACAAACCTCCCCGCATTTGACTGTGAATTTCTCTAACCTTCCAGGGATCTTTTCTGTATCCTGCTGTTTGGACGACGACTCAATCAAATGTTTTTGAATAATTCCCTTTGTTATGAAAATGTTACAGTTTTCAGCAACTCATGCATTTGTGAATAGCGAAGCAGATCTCCCAAGCCGTTTAACCCGAGGGAAAAAAAAAATTGTTCCCGCTCCAAGAAAGTCTCTCGGCTAGTCTCGTGAGCAGATGCAAAAGCTTTTGCTCCGACAGAAATAAGGCTAGCCTCTTTGGAGCATTTTTTCACAATTCTGGCACTTAACCTCGATAGCACAAATGGATGCTGTGTACAGTTCCGGAAAGTAGCTGTTAGATTATGTTGCTTACAGTTCCGTTGGCCTGCTCTCATGAACAATACGCCCACACACAATTGCAAGATCATCAATTATTGCATTTTAAGGGGTACATCAATAATTTAAAATAGTATCTTTAATTCAAAATCTGAAAACGAAAATGATAAGAAAGAACAACTTTTCATTTCAACTTTCACTCAGTCACTCGGCCTTGTAATCATATCCTTCACTGTGTTCATTAAGGCTCCGACTTAAACTTCCGTTTGACTTTTAGCTTAATTCCTCAGGAAGCCGAGACATAAATATTAAATGATTAAAAGCGTTCTGGCCCTCGCCGGAAATACTCACTAATGCATCAGTAAACTACACCCTAGTGAGAGGGTCTCAACTGGGTGATGGCTTTTACGGCTAACGGTTAACATCTTGTTAATTTTACGGATTACGGCTAATTTCTCTCCGCTGTGATTAACCAAATATTTTAAAAGTTAACTTTTGCACGAAGAACGGTTAAAATTTGTCAATTTTTAGGCCCAATGCCTAAATTTTTACGTCATTTTACGACCATATAATCCATTTGAGACCTTTTAGTGACACACGCTGGCTTCTCCGTTGTGGATTCACGCCTGCTTTATATTGTTCACCTGGGGTTAGCTTCCTTATACAGCACTGTAATAATTTATGTGATCCTCTATGAGTAGGGTAATTCAAGACCCCATACAAAGGGGTTAAAATTTTTGAGATATCTAACACAATCCTTTCAGTTTTATTGTTGTTTCAGCAATACCTTCAATTCTGGTCAAATGATCCTCGACGGATTCGTAGATCTTCATTGCAATATACCAACAGTCCTAGTGTCTTGATAAGATGTGCTATTAAAAGATATCAAAATATTCCTGGTGGTCTATATCAGATTTTTCAATTTTTTTCTAATAAGATGATTGGAAAAGTGCGTGTTGTTGTTTTCGTCGCTGTTACTTAGTCGAGTGCTGAACCGGAAGAGTCCAGTTTAGGCGACACTCTTTAAGAAATTTGACGAGTGATGCATCATTAAGTAAGTTGCACAGATGTGAGACTTAGTTCGGCCATTTGTTCATTTATTTTCTTTAATATCGTAATGTTAACCTTAATACAATGAATGGTTTGGATCCAAGTTTTAAATTTTTTAAAATTTTATCTCATAATAATATACCAGGAGCCCCTGAATATACCTATTACATCACAAAGCTGTGTCCTTACTTAGCTTACAAAATAAATGTTACTTGCTGGATGGGTTCGCATTTTCACGATCATATGGACTATAATAAGGTTGAATTTCCAATAGAGTCACTAGCATAAGATAGGAGGGCACTTTTTCGGTATTTCTGGGAAGATAAAATTCTGGTAAGAAGAGGACAAAAAATGAGGAGATTCGCAGTTAAAAGATGTTACCGTATCTCGTGCTGTTGTTTGGATATTTAACAATTGGTTCGCATTACAGGATGATCTTCTTAAAAGGGATATTAAATAGAAAGTGACTGAGTTGGGATCGCGAAAATAACATTTTCCCAAAAGTGACCAAAATGGGTCTTAAACGGAATAAGTTTCTTTTTCTTTCCATCATTTTTTTTACGAGAACTGTTTTCTTTAAGAACTTAAGGCTGATTAACCAAAATTTTACGAACATACGAAGAACCGTGATACCCAGGCCGAGAGTCAGTTAAGAACGTCTTTATTTTGCTCATTTTTTATGTGAGAAATGTAAACAATGGTGAAAGAAATTTAAAACTGTGGTCTCACAGGACAATTAATTCCACTACTACAAGGGACATTTTGTAAATTTAACATTGCGGTTTTCTTATTGCGTGATACACTGGAGAACAATCGAGTTCGTAATCGAAACATAGTCAGTACTAATAAAACTTCTAGAAAAAAATTTAAAAACGTTTTCAGGTTCAAATCGCAAAAAAAAGATAAGAACATGTAGCCTCAGCCGCAAATTTAGACTTTCTTACAAATAGAGAGGGTGTGCACAGCTTAATTTGTCTACGGCGTTTTATTCCTCGAGATTTTAAGTGACAGAACTAATTGAACCAAATTGGTGTCTTCCTCCACAACGATACAGAAATCATTACAAAATGTCAACAAATGCTGACAGGTATTTTGCATAAATAATCAAAAATACGGTTAGTGATTAATAGATTATACTTTTTGAAACGATACAATGAAACAAAGAACTAATGTGGACGAACAACTGCGAACCAATTGGGAATCCGTGATGGACTGGTTGAAAGACTGCTTTCATTTTTCTGCCCCACTGCTCATTGGTTAATTATTCATGAAACGCAACAACGTGTTCATATGAGCGCTTAAGTCATGGCACGGAAAACAGGGATTTATCGCCGAGCGCTTGCTAGGATCCTTGCCGTTACCTTGCTGGTTCTTCAAGGTATAATCCTCGACTACTATTTAGTCGTCGAAGCGAATTCATGGTGGTTTGCGTGGATTGTTACAGACGTTATCGTCATAATCTCTTGGATTTTAACACTGTGGCTATCGCATCGAAAATCTCAGAGTACCACAACAGGCACGAAAGATGCGATTAAATTTGCCTATCAAGCCTGGATTATCTATGCAGTACACCTAGTGCCCCAATTAGCCACTCTCTTCAAGCTCAAATCGTCTTTATTCACGGATGAGAAACTTTTCTTTGGACCAAACACATTAAAAATGAACTTGTGCCTGACACCAATGTTATTTCTGTTTCTCATCTACGCGCATCACGATGCCAAATCACACACGCGACGAAAATATTACCTGGAGAAAATGACTGCAGCTGTAACGCTTGATCTGTTCGACAGCGTGGAAATGTTGGAGTACCTTTTCGAGAAGGAAACAATCTCGATCTCTCTGGAAAATTCTATCCTAGCTTTTTCTTGCATGAATGTTTTTCTTCCAACCTTTGCCTTATTTGAGCTGAAATTCAACAAGTTTCATGACAGTGGAGAAACTTCTCCGATCTCGTTTAAATTTATCTATATTTTCACTTTTATGTTTTTCGTTAATGTTCCTTTTTTGGTTTTAAGGCTGATATTATGGCATGCGTACAACTTAGATATATCGGTGCTGTTGGCCAAAAATGCTCTGGCGATTGTGATGGGAGTTATTGAAATAATGGAGTTCTTTGGAGAGCAGAGACCGAGAAAGTGCAAACATTGTTCAAGGACTTTTGCTAAAGACTTTTTCAAGCCTCACATGAAACTTTGTTCGCCTGCTGTAAATATGGAAATGATTCCCTTTGATAAGACAAGCAAGCTGGACGACTCTAAGGAAATTGCTTTAAATGCGTGTGACATTTCGCCTAATTCAACAGAAACATACGTCTAATTCATATCCCAAACAAAGCTTTGTAAAACTATTATTGATCAAGAATTACGATTGAATATGAAATGACGTATGTCAAGACATGGTTTGCACATTGTCATTCAACCCGCTTACAATTTGCTACGTAGTCTGAAAGGCTCTTCCACAGTGTTTAGTATTGTATTCATTGTTGTTTTGTTCCGTTTCGGAAGGTGTTGAAAGTGCTCGTGTCACGCTGTTAACGGATGATTTTTGACAAAGTATTAGGAAACCACAATAGAATTATTAAAAAGCGGATTGTTTTGATTGACTACTGTGCTGTGGAAGAACTTTATTTATCTCAGCACAAGCCTGTCGAGCCATTAGTCCAACCTCCCGTCCACTTCAGGGATTTATTGGTAGGGGGTAACTTTGACAAACTACGCTAAGTTACGTTTTTCAAAGGAAGAGCGATAAAATTTCCCACGGATTCGACGAGAAAACACTTTTTTAGTCCGTCCATTTCGCTTGCTCGATCTAAGATGTTTCTGTCTTCTGTAGGAACCTCAATGGGAGACCATTTTCTGAGACAGTCAACTTGACTAAATGATGCCGGCACGAGGTACTATTTCGAAAAATTAAAAGCTACTATCAGTAGGGGAAGTCGTTTTGAATCATTGGAGGAGCCTCGATAGCAAAAATTCCCGGCCACGTATCGAAACCTTGAAGATTACCCCACTCCCTCTCATCTCCCTGATAAATTTTCAATATAGCCTGTAACTTCCGTCCCACTTATACTTGCAAGATAAGCGATGT